TCATAAAAACCGTAAGATTTTATGGATCACGCTTCCTTTATCATTTACAATTAATCTTAGATGGGCACTCTCTTTGTGAACCTTAGGGAGACCATAAGCCATGGGGGCCCTTGCATCTCTCTGGAGCTGTAAATTCATTTTCCACTTCTCCATTTCATCATTACTTACGCATACCTCAAGGGCATCCTTTAACCTAATCTTAAGTCTTTCTGTTGGATCTCTCAATAAAGGCCTATACTTGTCATTGTCATTTAAATAAACTAGCCTTTATTCTGCATAACTTTACTTACCTATGACTACCACTGTCCTACCTTTGTCGCTTTCATTACGATTAGATTACTACCACACAAATATCTAGAAACCCTGCTAAGATGACAATCTTTCTTTTACGGTATTATATGGTCAAAATGACGGATCACCTCTAGTTCAATACTATTCCTTACCTCTTTAGTCAATCTATCAGATAAGCTAATTGATTCAGCAAGTATTTCCAGAGAATGGTTTACCTCATTTGGAAGAGCACAATTCAATCCTCTTTCCAATAAAAGTACTACACTATCCTCCAAAGTTGCACTAGATAAATTCACAACCCACTTTGCTACAACCATGGTTAGTAAGACTTAACTTAGGCTCAAAGTTTCTCGACCTCATTCTAATTCCTAAATTCCGGAGTTTCTTATCATGTATTCAGCGAGTAGTTCTGTCAGTCGCCTCTCCTAACCGATCAACCATGTCTTGTAACTTAATTAAATCCACGTTTTCACCCGAAACGAGGGAGTAAAGCTCGTGGAATGTGTAAACATGGATATTGTATAAAAGCCAAACGGCTGCAGTATAACGAGATTCATTCGTCCTCATCTGGTGAGATCGACCAATGCATCTCTTCTTCATTCACTTTAATACGAAATGAAAGTCCCCCTAACAATGTTATCTCAAGAGATTCATCTGAACCTAGTTTTTCTTGGTATCAAATTAAATTAATAGTTGTGATAAGAAAGATTACAACTCTAGTTTAGGTTAGAACCTCGGCATCCTATCTTAGTTAAGGGCCTTTAAAGGCTGAATTGGATTGCACTTGGCCTTGCCTCCAAAAATGTTAACTCTTGACATCTGTTATGCAGGACCACATTACCGTTAAACACTGTTTTGCGCTCATTTTGCAACACGGCTTACTACTCCACTACACAGCCACAGGAACAGATACAAAATCCAATGTTATGTGACTATATTGGGCAAGCTTGCATTTTCAATTGCAATTGGCGAAGTTGCTTATATGCTATTTAAGTACGTTTTGCATTTATCAGTAATTCTTAAATACCACAAATAATAATTTAGTAATCACCTGAAAGCGACCTCAAAGGACTAAGTTCATATTCCAGATACCTAATAGGTTCAAAAGACACTTAAGAAAATATAAGTGATGTCGTTAATGGCAATTACAAGTACTTATCTGCCTCATTGTTAACCTCTGTACAAATGTGAATGAGAAAAGGCCCTGCTTACTTTGAGTCAAATCTTCCCTATGACTCTGGCGTAATGTTAATGTGTCACAATCCTATGTGCACGATTCGAGGATGCTGATGAGACCCAGGCAAGATTGAAATTGCTGTCAAGACTGGATGAGAACACCCTTTAAGAGGCAGTGCTAAGTGAAATCAACTGGCAATATAAGGCCTACTTTTATAATTGTGACCTGGAAGGACAAAGAAACTAGTAAGGAATTATTTTTATAAAAAATTGGTTCCGAGACTATTATTAAATCTTGTCTGAGAGTTGTAGCTTCCTTAGGTCGCACTAGGTGATATAGGACTGATAGTTGAATTTTTCCACAATAATGTGAGTATACCTCATGATGCCTTAGTCCCTACTGGAACCGAGTAAATTCAGCCAACGATTAAGAAAAGAAAGAAATCTTTGATGGAATAAAAGAGATTGGGATCGATGATTCAAGTTGGATCAGCAATTCTGCCAAATCGAGAGGGAGAGGAGGGGGAAAAGTGAAGAAGCAGATGTGATAACACCCCAGCAAGCTCGCCAATAAGGGCATACTTCTAGAGTAGTCAAATATAAGCAAATAAGGAGTGATGGAGTGAGATACAATGATCTGGAGTGGGTAGATATACCAGGACAGAAGAGGGAAGGCAGGAAGTTGGTCGAAGGATTGACTACGCTTTTTGGTTTGTCCTAAGAATGGCAAGACTCACTAACGATGCTAACAAGAAGTTTGGAATTATACCAAGCCCATGGAATGACACTGGGAATTACGATAGCTAACATAGCAGAGGACTTCAGACAAAATACATTCAACTAGTTCGCCATGACAACACGACCAAGTTGCGAAAATGAGCTCAAACCATTTCTATACAGCGAGCGGAGGCTGTGATCAAAACAGAGGCCACAGCATCTTGCTCTTCATGTCTAAGTTGCTTTTTAAATTATCGAATTTGACTGGGGTGAATATATCTCATATATATATATATATATATATATATATGATTTACCGGTAGTCGAAACTGCAGTCCACTTCAGCT